AAACCCTAAACCCTAAATCCAGGCGCAGACTCGGGACCTGCGGCCCCTGCCTTTCGGCTACGGCTTCGGCTCTGGGACCATGGCGAAGTGGCTGACCAAGAAAGCCAAGGCCGAGTTTTTGAGTTTAGGGTTTAGGGTTTAGGGTTTAGGGTTTAGGGTTTAGGGGTTTAGGGGTTTAGGGTTTAGGGTTGAGGGTTTTTCGTTTGGGGCGGAGAGGGAAGACGTAGGATAAGGCTTGCTCTGGTTGCAAGACTCCTGCTCCTGCCAAGTTGAACTATATGTGATATTAACATTGTTACTATCATCATTATTTATTACTATCACTATTATCATTGCTATTATTGTTATTATGATAGACCATAATGATGAAGAGGCGGCTGCAAAAGAAGAAGAAGAAGCAGAAGACTCTTGCTGGTGCCTGGTGCTGGCGATGCTGAGGATGGCAATGATGCTGCTGCCTATCATGCTCATAACAGTGCGGGTGATAATTTGCCAAATTTTAAATACGGCATAGGAAGATGGTCCGTAGTCAAAGACCCCCCAGTCTCTATGCGCCTGCCAAGGCTTATCTTTTGTGTTGGGGGCCCTCCTCCGCAAAAATTACCAAATCACCGCCCCCAAAGTGGTAGCAGCTTCGCAGGAGGTCTACGATGAGACACCGGAGGATTTCGAGGGCATCGCATCTGCTTTAGATGCAGAGCTGCACATGGGTAGTTCTCTAAATTAGGGTCCCGTTTTAGGACCCCAATATAGTACGGCACCCTTATAAAAGGGGCCCCAAAAGGGACCCTAATTTAGAGAACTACCCACATGGTTTTGAGCGTAGGCGTCAAGGTTCCGGTGCCACAGCGGCTAGTTGAAAGTTGAGAGCTTCATCTTGCTGTTGTGGCTGGCAAAGCTGAGGAGACAGCACCAGGTGGCCGTCGAGATCTGAGACCGATGGAAGTGATGATGTGATGCCCATCTGCGAACCTCTTTGAAGCTCCGAAGTAGTAGGGCCGGAGATGGTCAGCATCCGGCCGCTTAGACGCGCTCCAAAGGGGCCACAGCTTAGTTTACAGAAGGGCTGAAAGGCTCCATCACATGTTCAGAGCACACTCTTTGTCGGCCTCTGGGATGAGAGCTCTCCACAGTTTGTACAGGGAGGGCACGAGTGCGGAGTGCTGTCAAAAGGACGCTGGGGGCACATTTAGGAGAGCCCCTCACTTTGAGAACGCCTTGAATTCTAAAATCCTTCACATAATCTCACTTATATTCCTTAATGGAATCGGGGTATCGGACTCCCTGAAACCCTAAACCCTAAACCCTGAGCTTCCAACTGGCTTGGAAACTTCCCGGCTCTTCCGCGGAATGCAGGTCGAGGCCGCCTCCCTGGCAGCAGCGGCAGCGAGGTCCGAGCTTCAGGCCGAAATGACTTGGGAAGGCAACCAACAGGTTCGGGTTTAGGGTTTAGGGTTTAGGGTTTAGGGCTCAGGGCTTAGAGAGTTCGGCGATCAGATCTTCGTGGAAGCCGGGGTCAGAAGCCCCACTTCGCAAGGCGGATGTGAGTGCAGCAGCAGCTCATGTGGTGCGTTTATTTTGCGGCTTTTCCGTAGCTTCGTGGGCCACAAAGCCAGCATGCACGCCGCACCGGACCATTTGAGAGATGCGCAGGCAAGAACCCACACTTCCATGTGGTTCACTTCGTACATGCCGGGCGCCGGGACTGCCCTGCCCGTGCTTACGTTGATCTAGATTGGACTGGAGTTCTCATCTGTCTTCGATCGCAAGCACACGTTCGCCCAAGCCAGTGTCGCTATTCAGGACCATTTGTTCAGGAGTTTGCTAGACTGGTTTTGCTTTTCCAGTTCTCATGAGCTCCAGTTGAACATCGTGCTCTGACCGAATTCTTCCGCTCTTGACAGAGAGCATACGTAGTACATTCTTGCCGGGAATACCTGTATCTAGATGGAAGAAAGCAAGCTTCAATCATTCATTTGTGCTGTCCAGGAACCTTCAAAACTTGATGTTGTGGATCAGAAACTCCTCCTGCGAATGCAAACGATATTGGCAGAATCGTAGCTATTTCTCAGATTCTGCATTTATGGAGTTCAGGCTTTTGGGCCTAGGGCAGCAAGCGCTTTTTCCCACCCGAGCTGACCTTATCATGCGCCACACTTGTGTATTGCAAAGTGGTGCTGTCCCAAGGGAGCAGTCGACATGGAGCAGACACACACACACATGGAAGTCCTGTACTTCACTGAGGAGATTCATATATCCCCTCATAAGAACTATAATGCAAACCCCTCATGCACTTGCTAAGTCCAATGAACCGCCAAGTAGCCCCAAAACACCCTGCTGAACGCGACCTATTATCTCCTTGAAGCTCTGTTGGAACCCCAATGAACCCATCACAACTCAACAGAGCCCTATTTTCTGCTGAGGTTCGTCCTTGACGAGCTTTCGGAGGGCGAGGGCGAGGGCGAGGACCCGCGGTCGGCTACGGGGTTATGAGTACCTTCAAGGGCTCCATATAGCTTTCATACAAGGTCCTTATCGGCTGTGCTTTAAGGGCGCACGTGATTCGTCCTGCAGATTCCGGCTTCGTATAAACTGTAACTAGACTGTTATATGCCCCGAAAGCCTATTTCTAATTCTAATTGTTAAGGCCACCAGATCATGCTTGCTGTCTTGGTTGGAGAGCCGGCCCAAGGCCTTTGCCACGGAGCCAGGCTAACCCCTGAATTCTCTAGCCGTTCTATAGACTTCCAGCCCTTTCTTTGCTTTTGACTTGAAATTTGGATGAGCCTCTGATCCTGGATGAAGAATGGTCGTTGCCATTGATGGGCTTAGACGGGGAACTCGGTGCCCTACATGTTTGTTGTGTTGATTGCACGTCAGCCATCACTTCCTCGAGCCTCTCGGTCAGCGACGTGTGTGCCAGCGGAAAACGATGAAGGTAGTGACATTTTGTTGGTTTTCTGAATATTCTCGAAATCCGCATCATAGGAGCAGGCGCAAGGATCATGTCACGCCAAAGGCCCCTCCTCGATGAGTTTGTCCTTGCGTGCCGCGCGAGGACCAAGCCCTGAAAAGGTGATCTGAGTCGAGCACAGGGAGGTCTGAAAGCCGGGCCCTCACCAAATCAGAAAAGGTTACTTAAACGATCAAAGGACATAGTAAAGTAGGTTATCAGCGGAGGTAGATGTACCCTTAGTCGGAAGATCTAGCAAAAACCTACGTACTAAGTCCTTGATCCTGTAAGGGGGGTTGCCGATTTGGGGGATGTAGGAGGCAGGGTTGAAGGGGTTTCAGCTTTGCGCTTTGCGGCTTTAGGATTTGATCAGCCTGGAGGCCATGTTGGCGAAGGCACGGTGTAGGAATAGCAAGAGCCCGACTTTTCAGTTGAGAAAGGCGTTTGCAAAGGGGCGGGAGGGTTCGTAGACAGTCCTCGCGCCTTGCGCATGGACACCTTTTCCCAGATGCACGGTGCATGTTTGGAATTGGACTTGACAAACGCCCAGGTACATGAGATCGACCACCTTGGTCGGGGCCTTTGCTACATACGTGGTTTGCCTAGCTGATGACGAAGGCTGAGAGTTGAAGCACTCCTTTCGGTGCATCGGGAGGGTCTCGACTAAAGGGTTGAGAATGGCAGTGGGCTCTTGGGCACATTGCTGGCTTCATGCTTTATCAAGCTTCCCGTCCGAGTACTTCTGGAGCTACAGGGATGTTGCAGCGGCAGCCATTCCATGTGTCGGATGTAGGGTGGTGGCATAATGCTCGCAAACGACAGTCATTTCGGTCAAGGTCGAACCGACAAAAGTCATTTTTCCATTTTTCTAACATACGACTCTCGGAGCTTTTCATCCAACATGCCGTTGCTGGACTCCCCAGTGCTGTACCCAGCACCGAAGGTCCAGTGGTACTCACCGACGTCACGGAAGCCGAGCCACGAGAATCCGCTCGGCATCGCCTTCCCGGAGGATACGGAGAAGGAGACGATGGTGACTGGAAGGGAAGGATCCCCTCCACAAGACTGGATGATGGTCAAGATCGACGGCGCACTGGATTTACTGCCGTCTGACACCTTTGGGCCGCATTTCTACTGCGCCACAGCGTACTACCCAGGCGAGGGTAACGCAGAAATTAATGCACGAAAGACCGAATTCGCGGTCGGGAAGGCGAATCCCGCACGTCCTGACCTTGACAATTGCATGCTGCAGAAGACAGTTTCACTCCCATACAATCGGAAGCAACAGCTCCTGATGGTCGAGATCCACGAAGTGGATCCCGAAGACTCAGAGGCAGAGGACTGTTTGATCGGCCGGGCATCACTACCACTGGCAGATCCAAAGATCGAGTCCTCGGCAAAATGGCCACTGTTTCGCGGCTTCGAATCCAGCGGCTCATTGGCGGTGCAAATCCACATCCCCCAGCTGAATTCTGCGGGCCCGAAATTTTCCCTTCTACAACCTCGTTTGTGTGCAAGGGCTCCAAGCAAACCAATGCTCCTCCAAGCGACTCTCCTCCCGAGGGATGTCCAGAGCCCGTTTCACCATCCAGAGTGGCGCGCCCAACCCTCCTGGAGAGCCTGCGGCATGGAAAGCAGAAACGCGAGGAAGAGAAGTGCAAAGCATTCGATCCTGCGAGCTACGTGCCAGCAAGACCACCTCACAGCCACATGCCATCCCGCACAAGCTACAATCCAGTCCCCATGCAGCAGCCGTTGCTTGACGCATCCAACCCGGCCCAGACTCCACAGTACTCTCGGAGTCCTAGAAGAAATCCAGGGCTTCCACTTTAAAGAAGCTGCGCTTGCTGTCGTTCTTAAGTGACGCGAAGGAGCTGAGGGGTCCAGGATGGATCCTTGGGCATCTTTCGCCCCAGGCAGTCTCCCCTACGCGTGCAGTGGCAGCGTGTCACCGAGCTCCAGGTTGACATGTCATGACGTGTCTCCCTGGCACTGCTCCAGATGCGGCTCCTCCTCGAGGCAGGCAGGTTGGCGCGGGTGCTTCCGTGCTCTTCTGTGGGATGCTCCATGATTGCCCTTGTCTCGTCCCTACGTAAACATGCAGACGGCGCTCTTGCTCAGTCGTCAGCCCGCGAGCACCCCTCCGGTGGTCTTGTGACTGAAGCTCTCCTGGTGTTCGATGGCGGTCGCCGGCAGGCTTCCTTCCTTCGCCTTTGCTTTTGTCCCCAGTGCCCTGTGTGGTTGATGAAAATGCTGCCAGGAAAGGGAGCAGGCGCCAGACTTTGCCAGAGACGGGGTGGCACAGCAAAAGGTATCATTCGGGAAGGGTTGACACGAGATGGTTGCCAGACGAGATGTCTTGGCCATGAGTGCCTTTGCCGTGTTATAGACCGACAGCGGCTTCAACCCAACATTGTCGGAATTTGGGGTTGCGCTGATGTAGGCGCCCGCCTGTCTTTGGAAGTATGGGTTCCGTAAAGGCTGTTGCTTATCCCTAAACCCTAAACCTAAACCCCAAACCCCTAAGCCATGGAGCAGCCGCGCACTTTCTGATCAGGCGGATGATCATGAGGTCCCTGACTGAGTCCTCGACGCGATCTCCCTGATCGATAGTTAGGCAAGGCCCATCTATGATACCGGTCTTTCGCTGCACGCTGTCATTTGTCATCTCTTGCTGAGCAACGACTACGAGCATCACAGCCGGATCAGAGAGAGTCGGATCGTGATTGTTGCCGAGTTTTATGTCCAGTGATAATCTGTGCAGAGTGTGGCTCTCAGGTGATCACTGATCGTCTGCTGCTTGCGGACGTCTCCAGCATGCCACTCTCTGCGTGCTTCGCGAGACTCTCTTGCTATTCTCGTTGCCTTTCTGCCAGTTTGCACCGAATTGCGACCGCGACTTCCGCGGTCAGGAATCAAAGAGACGCCGTTCAGAGACGACGGATGTGTGCCTGACAAAATCTACACTTGGAACATGGTTGCTTTCGCCTGTCTTCGCGAGAGA